GCACGAATACGCCGGAAACAGATGTCGAAAACGGTAAAACCCTAGGCAAACCCTAGTAGGAAAAGAGAGAATACTCTAGAAAGAAAACCTAGAGAGAGAAAGTTGTGACCGCTAACAGGGCATTTGATTGGAGGGAATTGAATATCTTTATTAATTAGTGAAAGCCTAATAAGCTATTTTTACCCAAGAAAATATCATTGGATATATATAAGCTCGGGTTCTAGTGTAGTAGGCTTCCCGGGTATGCATGTGTAGATTTACCTGCTCCATCCATCTAAACATGATCAACGGTTGAAAATTAATGAAAAGGCAAAAAAAAAAAAAACAAAACAAAACAAAACAAAAAATGTTGTAACATTTTTGTAAATGATTGTGCATTTAGATATGTTTGATGTTTGATGACTCTTTGAGTCCAAATGCACCATCAAACATTCTTATGTGCACCGTCAAACATTCTTAAATATTGCTCACTCGTGTCATCACAAGAGTATCTAAATGAACCATCAAACATTCTCAAATGATCAGTCAAGCATCTCCAAATGCTTTGTCAATTCACATTAAATTATAAAAATGACATTCCGTTCTCCCACCCCCTTCTCATTGAATTTCAACCTTTAATCATGTTTAAATGGGTGATCCAAATCTATTTGCATGGTTGCACTTGGTATATATTTGGGATCAAATGCAGCAGGCTCCCGAGATGTGACAGTGCGGATAGATTTGGGTTGTCCATCTAAAAATTAGTAAAAAATAATTAAAAGCTGAAAATCAATGATAAGGGGAAAAAATATAGTGTGTGGCATTTGTTGGTACATTAAGTGTTGGTCTATCGTGCACTTAATAATGGTTTGTGGTGCACCACCAAATACTGGTCTGTGATGCACTAAGTGCTGGTATATGGTGCACTATTGAATAATCTGTGGTACACTAAGGGTTGGTCTATGGTGCATCACCAAGCGTATGCATGCACACTGTGTTCGCCATTTGCGCATATTGTATGTCTTTGATTTGAGCTCATCTAATATTGGTTCAGATCTATCTACATGGTCGTACTTGGGATGCAACCGCACCAGAACTATATATATTTGTGATGTATATGAAAATAATATTTTTCTCAAATGGGGAGACCATAAGCAAGCAGAAGTAGAGAGTTTTAGTTATCTTGATTAAGGTAGAATTTTAGGTAGGTAGCTTAGGTTGAATATAGAATTCAATAATTAACCTAATAATTCTGTAACTTAACTTACATATAATATTATATATATATATATATATATATATATATATATATATATCATCTTGCAGTCATTATCAAAAAGCTAAGCTTTGCTAATTGACATAACTTCTTTTTTCTAATTTCTCTTAAGATTGTATATTAATTAGTCAATTTCTTGCTCTACATTTTCATTGTTGGTACCGGGCATTAGTTTTGAGTGTCTGTGTGTGTTTCTTTTTTTTTTTTTTTTAATGCTACTAACTCTAATACTCTATTATATTGTAGTATCTGTTCAAACATACTTTCTCAATCTAATGAAGCACACAGAGTTAACAACGCCCCCACTGAGGCTCGATCTCATAACTTCCAACATGAAAGAGGTCACTACATGCCATTTGAGTACAAGGTACTTGGCTTTGTGTGTTTCTATCCCCAAATTGTTTTCTTAATTAGCAAGATATGTATCACATGATACTGATAGAAAATGACAGCACTATATATACTAATATTACTCTCTATGTTGCTATACCTCCACACTTGTCCTCAAGACATTTGCACTTTTATATATTATTGGATACACTTTGTAATTTTGTTTGATTTACTTTTAGTATTTAAAGTTTATAATATTTATCAAATTATCACTACATTTTTCCCATTACATTAGAGTCATTCATTATTCTAAATTAACGACTTGCACTTTATACGTAAGGTTTTGTTATTATATATATATATATATATATATATATATATATATATATATATATTGATGGTTTTATTGGGACCAGGTCCACCATAAACCGGGTACAGGAGTACAGAACGAGGGGTAGGGCGCTAGGCCCAACACAATGTGTATAGAAGTCCGAGGTACGGCCCAAGAACATCGACCAAGGCCCACGGGGTGGGCTATAGCTAACTATGCTACTGGTAGGAATCGAACCCAGGTGACTGGATTAAGAGTATGAGATCAAGACTAATAGACTAGTGTGCCTGTCGTGTACGAGTTGCCCTTAGCCAGAGATCCAGGGCCCCTATTTATAGCAAGCCCCCCCTCCTCCTCTAGCGTCCACGTGTCCCATGCAATCCATCCCTACTTCCCCATTTATCGCTACGCAAGCGGGCACGTTCGCCATACTTCCAAAACTCCCGCGCATACCACCCCGGTCCACCATGCTCGGCGCACCCGCTCAGCACCCCCTCGGGAAGGGGGGGGTGCCGTTGACAATCTGGGGGGCGCACTACCCCCGCTAGCCGCGCCTCGGCCTGAGGTGGCCGGCGGGACCCGCCGCCGGCCAGTCGCCGGCCGGCCAATGGCTGGCCATGGCCCGTTGTGGAGGCTGCCCTGCTCGCAAATATCGGTCATATACATGCTGTCGCGCCTTAATACTCATGTGATGGTGTGGTCTAATGGTTAGACGCGCGCTTGCTCTGTGGGAGGGTAGGGGTTCGAATCCCACTGGCAGTAGCAGCGCTTTTCCTTGCTGCCTTTTACCCATGGCTGCGGTGGTGGGGCACTGCCGGCACGACCCCTCCCCCCGGCCTCGCCGCCGGGCCACCCCGCCGGTCCACCACCGACCGGCCGCCGGCGGTTTGTGCCCCGGAAATCTTTCTCTCTCCTCCGTTTTGGGCCACCACGCCCCCTTGTCTTCTTAGCCCAATAGGACTTGGGCCAATCTCCTATCATCACCACTCCCACTTGGGTCAATACTATGCCAATAAAATGGACCCCCGGGTCCCATATCCCCATCATATATATATATATATATATATATATATATATATATATATATATGTGTGTGTGTGTGTGTGTGTGTGTGTGTGTGTGTGTGTGTGTGTGTGTGTGTGTGATAATAGTATCATATGAGATAAATAAAAATCAATATTAGTCTTATATATGTAAAAATTCGACGAATCTGATCGGATTTTTTATTTCTAAAAATACGGTGATATTTTCGTAGTTATTATCAACTTCACTATGCAAACTTGAACACTTAAATTACAATCTTTAATAACTAAACATGCAAACCTGCCAAGCACCTTATGCGTAGATAGCATGTAATGACTCTTCCATATGGGAGGTCATGAGATCGAGCCTCAGTGGAGGCGGTGTTGACTCTTTGTGCTTCAACAGGTTGAGAAAGTATAGATGAATAGATACTCAATGTAATAGAGTCTTTATCAACAGTTAGATACTACAATCTAAACCATAAATGTTAGACCTTAAGTAGTAAAAAGTGAACTACTAAACCAAATAAAACCAAAAATTCAGTCATAAATTTTAAAATCGAAACTCTAAGTGCAATGCACTTTCGCATTTTTGCAAGTGCAATCTTTTAATACTAAATATGCAAAATGTTAATACTAAATGTACAAAATGTTAATACTAGATGTGCAAACATGAAAAAGTCAGAGAATTGCATATTTTAGTATTCATGTTTGCATAGTAAAATTGGTGATAATTACGAAAATGTCATTGCATTTAAAAAAAAAATAATTTGATTCGTCTGATTTTTCAGATATAAGGTTAAGATTGATTATTATTTCTCTTAATGACTTGTTTTGTATAAAAAATTAATCTGACCGTCTGTATAAAAAAATACAAAATTTTATTATAACATTAAAAAATAAACATAATATAATTAAAAAAAATTCTAAACTGTTTTTGTTTGTTCAATTATTGGTAAAAAAAGATATCGTACTAAAAATATAATTATAGTTTGATTGAAGTATATAAAACGTTAAGAGAATTGTGTCGGCTAGAGAACATTAGAACAAACTTATTGGAATCTTCGTAGATAATGGAGGGACCAACAAGCATGTTGAGGATACATATAATAATTAAGGGTACTAAGCACACATTAATTTATATTAGCACAATACTATATAGGTTAGGTCAGAAACTAACGAGCATTGTGGATGATTTTATGTTAGGATGCGACGTGCACTCTTAGCTGGCAGGCAGCCAATGAGATAGGGAACTCTCCACGACCTCCCATGACATTAAGTCTAACCACCCTTTTTTGTTTTTTATTTTTTAAAAATATCTGAGTGATGAGGTGACTTAATAATTATGTTTAATGGTGTCTCTCAGTAATATGTCTCGGGTAAAGGACACCTAACTGAAGGTCTAACCACTTGTTTAATTCATGATTCATGAAAAAGAATTAATGAGAAAATTAATATAAATAAATAAATAGATAAGTTTAGGATAAGTAGGTAATCTTTAATAAAACCACCTGTCACTTATGCCAAAGAAAGTGTTTTATGAGAATATTTTATATATTGGATATTGCCATATTGAAGGCATTTTTAGAATAAAAATTGGAGAAAGCGTGCCCAAAAGTTTGACTTTATCAAGAAAAGTCATAATTATACCAAATAATCACATTTTATGTATAAAATATTACTGCCAATTTTATACGGAGGATCTCTATCTATCCATTTCAGATCACTTTTCTTAGTTGCCCTTAAACGAATGAACGTCCTTTAGTATATTTTTGGTGGGGTTAAATGCGATGCGATATACTGCCCCTCTCCCTCCCTATACTTTCAACACTTGGCGACAAAGAAACCATAGCATGCAGATCTTCATGCACAAACACTCCTATTGGGTATGAGTATCTTATCTGGAACACTTTTAAAACGACAAAACTGCACTTTTTCTCCACCCATTTCACTCTATTCAGCTGCACTACTCGCCGATTCCATACGTAGCATGTTAGGATGAATTGAAGAATACAATACGCATCGCATCATCCAATATGGCATTTCCCACTTCAGTCTAACAGAGCATAATATAGTTAAATTCTCCCAACCTATTAAAATTCGAGTGGGCAACAAGTTTTTTCTAGGAAGAAAAGCCTATACTAGTAAGAACCCAATGGTTCTGGTGAAGTGACCAAATTTAAAATATATGACAACCATACATATGCAATGTTATCACCCATTACCGGTGGACTTGTAGTGACACTCATCTATTGTGGAGTAAACAAGCCCTTCTGACTCCAATGATTCCATCGCTTTTCTGTTGGGGGATTTATGGGGGAGGGTAACACAAAAACATTGTACAAAAGTCAGCATGTTATCTGCACATGTGTATGTGTACTGAGATAGAGGGAGGAAGAGAGTTACAAGAGCTTCTCAAGAGGAATGTTTAGTTGTTGAACAAGCTCATTGCGGTGAACCCCTTTTTCCTGAACACTGAAATAGTAGAAAACTTCAGTCATCAAGAGTTATGATATATAGAATGTGTGTATATGAGTTTGTAATGGTCTCAAACATACATCAGAATTCAACAATGTAATTAGTCGTATGCAGAACCAAAAAAAAAATTGCGAGATTTCACCCATACCATCAATGGCTTATAACAACAGCAAATGCACTACCTCACAGGTGTTTTTACTACTACTTCTATACTATATAGAGTAGATACGTTAATCTTCTATTTATTTACAGACCACACGTGCACACTTAGTTACAAAACCTGAGACTGGTTTTAAATCTTAATTAGATGGCCAAAATCTTCCTTCCTTGAAAAACCAATCCTATGGGCATCAACTAAGAACCAATCGCTTGGATAGGCTCCCACCAAAGAAATATTTCTTTCCTTTCATGAAGGTGCCAGACAGTTAACTAGATCCAGTTTGCAAAATTTCCAAAATCATTATTGTAAAAGCAAAAATAAATAAATATAGATTAAACTCAAGTTGCACAACATCCTTTTAGTCCAATCCTTTCAGAGTTCAGAAGTGAACTTTTCTCATGTTGACATATATAGATGACTCTAACATACCTACAACTAAAATCCAGCATTAAGAACATTCACATCTTTACCATTTCAAGATGGACAGAATAATGATGAAATTATTAACTAGCGAACAATTTGTTTAGGATTTTATACAACTTACAGGCATTGGGGCTGATGCAAATAGCTTATGATCATCTTTTCTATGCCCGTAATTCCATCCACATTATACGCAGAAAACTAAAAACAGAGGATACATTGTAAAGTTAGTTAAATAAGCCAGATAAAAGTAGAGAACTCTATTATGGGATACCTTACATTTGGTTGGGAAACTTGGTACCCCTTCATAGGTGTGTTCATAGCTGAATTAGGCACATGGGTGGCAGTATTAGCACTGTCTGGAAGTTTCTGTGAATAATGATAGGAGAATAAAAATCTCAATCTGAAAATAATAGTAAGGCAGATCATATTTGATTTTATAAATTTGCTCTATTGAATTTCATCCAAAATAAGTTCAAAGAAATTAGTGGAATACCCGTAACTTGGTGTTGTGGCAATAAGCATAAATAGCTTCAGCAAAGTGATGCGCAATCTCATTATAATCATCAACAGGCCTGAAATTTGCAGAATAAAGGCATTTACATTGCACAATAAAGATTTTTGTAAAGAATGGGAAATTATTTATTAAAAATAAAACAGTTAGATGTATTTTAGACAGAAATTCACACATCATTACTACTATTGCCAAAAGCTGATTTCTCCGTCCAGTGGCAATTTGGCAGCCAACCAATATGTTTGAACTCAGATTGTGTTATATCAATGACAACCATCACACTTTGATCAGTATTCAACTACTATGCATTGCTTAGTAAAATTAGAAGCCTCAACACCTCCAACAAGAGCAAGCATGGAGAGAGAGAATGGGCCTTGTGCACTGGAGGGAAGATACTCTTTAGGAGCCAGATGTTCTGCACCTCCTCAAGGTCTACTTTCAGAACAAGAGAATCTAAGCTTTGCTATAAATTGAAGCTTAAGGAAGGAGAGAAAAATAATACGGAACACTAGAGTAATATGTGTGGTTTATATACATATAGCAGTAAGTTATTTAGATACAATTCCAACTACAGTACTACACAATCATAAGCATTATCTCATGTGGGAGTAATCAGAACTCCAGAAATTGAGATATACACAGAATCTGAACATGTGGCCACTAATACCATAAGCTTATTTAACTTAGAAAACTTTTCTTTCACCCATGTTACTTAAGGTGACACACTATTTCAATGTATATAAACAGCCATGAAACCTTCATCTTTGAACAGAAAGTGCAGGCAAGTCCATGGGGTTTGTTATTTATTTTCATCTTGTTGCACTTGATTTACATCCACTTAAACAAAAGTAACACAAAAATGATATTCAAACTAAGTAGTACTCCGGCAGAAGAAGAGAAACTACAAACTGATATAAGATGAAACTCTAGGTCAGGTAAATTAGCCATTTTGTTGCCCTCACAACAACCTGCAATTTTGGACTTCAAAAAAATGCACCTAATGCCAGACACTACAATTTAGGAAGAAAGGGACACTGGACACCCATGAAAGCATTAAAGTACCAGCAAAAGTTTAATGTTCAACACATTTACTTGATAGTAATAACTAATAGCAATATTTAAACCAAAGCAACTGTTGATCTATCATACCTGACAGAGTAAGTCATCAACTGTTTCTTGCCCTGGAAACCCTTCAAGTGTCCATGGACTTTAACATACATACCATTTCTAATGACAAGGCACCAAAAATAAGATTAAACTCCTAAATAAAGGAATAAAAGAAATGCAAAATTATAAGGAAGAAATATTACGAGATAGCTGCCATTTCCGTTTTGTCAAAGGGTTCATTCAGCCTACAAAGTATAAACGAACCTACTTTCAGGAAAAAAAAAAAACCTAAGTATATACAAATTATAAATGGATACAATGTGTTTTTCAATTAAGAGTTTTCAGCTTTACCATCGATAGCAGTCAATGCGCCCTGTTCCATCATCAAGCACAAATGAAAAATCAGTGGCCCTATCAGCCATGTTGAACACAATCCCCACTAGTTTCACCTTTAGCAAGTGCCGAAGTTAAAGTCCAGATATAAAGAGAAAGAAGAAAAAGATAGTAGAACCGAAAAGAGATAGAGAGAGATATTATCAGTACACAACACCTACATTATTCACGTCAACACCATTAACTAGAAAGTTTATCTTATCGTCGCTGGAATTTACAGCATCTATTATCTGCTTCACTGTCAACGGAAGCAACGATTGGGAATCGCGACTCTGAACAAACAATCAAAATCAAAAGAAAATAAAATAAATAAAGAGTTACCTTCTTAAAACTCTAATTATTTGCTTAACATACACAATTTTTCTGCAATTTCTTCTGATTTCGTGTAAAAGTGAGAGGTCCCTATACAGAGAAGCCGAAAACAGAACCCTACATGTCTCTCTAGAAATCAGCAAGCATGACAAAGCAGTTCGATTGAATTTTTTAAAAAATCTCATTCCAGTTTCGAGCGTTCATACTTCATAGTGAACTGAAGGGAAGGGGATTTGAGATGGGTATATAGAAAATCTGGAGTAAAATATACAGTACTAGGTAGCATTTTTTGTTTTTCTTATTGGTTTTTTAACATTTTCATATGGGGCAGTAGCAGCAAACCTTAGATGAAGAATAGGAAGGATCGGTAGCAGTTTGAGTCGCCTGAGAAGGCATGAAACCGCCTCCGGCGAAGGCCGCGTTGCCGTCGAACGAAGCGCTCCCACCATACATCTCTTTTTGCAGTTGTCTCTTCCGGTCCGATTGTGTTCCCGCCTTTTTGTACCTCTATTTTTGGCTTTTTTTGCTCCCCATTTGGGCCAATGAAATCATTTCTCCGTATTCACTCAATCAAGTCCAAATTACACTAGAATATTTTCAGTCCAATACCATATTAATAAACTCAAATAATGGGTGCAAATTAAACCATGTGAATAAATAAATAAATAAATTTAACTTAAAAATCTTGTGAACAAAAAAATCAGGTGGAGTTTGAAAATTAAATATACAATTAAATGGTACGAATTATTTTATTTTTTTTAATGGCTTATACGGATTGTTTTCTTTTTTTAGAGTATGTAGCGTTGCTTTTCTCAAAACAAGTTAATTATAGTCAAATTCACTAGCAACTACAAGGGCAAATATGTAATTTTCATATCTCAAACTCAATAATTTCATTTGGAGTTTGAGTTAAATGGCTTGAGAATGATAAAAATTACAAGTTTTTCCTTATTGTACAATAAGGGCATGGGATGCAAAAATGTAACAATTTTAAAAGATTAACTAAAAAATGGCACCTCTCGTTTTCTTTGACGATCGAGCCTTTCTCTCGTTTCCTTTGACGAGCACTTTTGTTCTTGTAATCTTGTCTGTCTTTGCGTTGAGGGGTGGTTTCCAAAAAAAAAAAAAAAAAAAAAAAAAAAACTAAACTAAACTAAAAAAAATGGCACAATAATCAATAAATAAATAGAATGAACTCTTCTCAAAAGTCAAAACCATCCAAATATTCAGCACGCACAAGAATGGTGTACTCAAATTTGGGAAGCTACAAGGCAAAAGTTACAAGGCAGAAACCTAGATAGTACATTACACAACACCAAATAAAATCAGAAGAATTTGTTGTATTGACTTGAGAGAGAATCCCTGAGATTGGAATATACGCTGTAAAGGGAGTACTGGCGAAGGTTCTTCACTTCATACCACGAGTTGAAGACCGAGTCGTGCTTGTCAGTGCCGGAAAATGTGAGTTGTACCCCAAGGCTACAGTCTGCGTTGCCCCCTCCTCGGTTCTTGCATGTATTAACTTTCATAGCACAATCTTGACCATTGAGGCATGCAAAGTTAGTGTTGTGTTTGCATGATGCGCACCCATCCCTCTTCCAGTGCAGGTTTTGCAGCCTACCCTTTTTGAATTCAAGAACCTAAATCACAAAGATTTCATCGCTTTAGCTAAACATTATGGTCAATTTGCAGAATATATTTGTTTCGTGTGAGAAATTTTCATAATGCATTTAATCTTACCAAAGTAAAGCTTGTCACAATGTAACTACCATTTGCAACAAAGGCGGGGACAGACCTAGCAGCATATTTGCGACCAGCAAATGCCACCATGTACCCACCAACGGTATCCTGTTGTTCAGTGGAAAGAATATATAAAACTTAAGTACCTTAATAGATAAATTAAATAGCCAAAAATAAAGGTTGGAGCAACAATCCAAGAAACATTAGTGGATGCAATGTCAATAGGACACTAAATTAAGCTTCATATTTATCTGTCATAACAGAGATGACCAAATAAAAATTGTCTACTTGCTAGTTGCTACTACTTTTCTGTCTAGAAATCCATTTGTTCTTTAAAAGGCACTTGGCACAAAGATTCAGCCCTTCCTCAGCCTCTTGAATTTTCTTCCCTCATTCATTTCATTATTCCTAGATCTAGACACCACCATCGATTCAAGGTGATCACCATGCACTGGAAGCACTATTTACCCATACCATCAACCTCTGAAGTTTAAAACTTAAGGCTGCCAGAGTTCAAACCACAAGAGCAGTTTAAATCCTGCATAACATACTCTTAGGCCTCACTGCCCTAGTTTAAACCAGAATTTCAACTATAACAATAGGAACTTTGATGTTTAAACCTATAAGCCCTTAAAGGATCAAGTTCCTGCATACTCTCAGCTCACTAATTCAAACCAAAATTGCAACAAAAAGAGGGGAAGTTCAGTACATTTACCAAATAATAGGTTCTAAGGTAGAAGATGAAACAAGTAAACATCCCACTCGAAATTAGGAACATACTCACAACTCACTGTCTTAGTTCATTAAATCAGTAATGAATTTTCTTGATAAACTTCTTACTTCTCGAACCCTTTTAATTTCTCTAATTAAGTCTGCAAGCATGCAATTTAGTTATCAGAAAAATTTTCTTTCTATAAGCATTAAAGCTGTACAAGCATGCAAGTTAGTTTATTTGCAATACTAAAATCAAACACAAAATCTATTCACATACAGAGTATTATTCTACAGTTAGTATCTTGACAAGTCTGATGGACCTCGAAAGGCTCAAAAATAGATGACAGTGAAATGGCTTATAACGAGAGGTGGAAACAAGGGTCCTAGATGAAAGCAAGGAAAGGGGATAGGAAGAAAATAAATGAAGTAGAACAACTTGGGGTATTGACATCAACTTGGGTGTCCCTACTATTTAGGTAACATACCTCAATGATTGATAGGGAGAGAATGAAACATAATAAAACTGTAGCACAGTATATGAATATCATATAATAGCTACTGGGTACTATTGTACTAATAAGAAATATGGAGTACCAGATGCATTCTCAAAAGAGTGGTACTTCAACTGAATCCTCTAAGACATTGAAAATTGGGTATGCCATGTCAGACATGCAATACCTGACATATATATTCAAGCTCAACAACATAGAATACTGATGCTAGCAAGCTGTTTGTTAAAATTCTACTGCACTCCTACAACTAATGCAACCTTATGTAGCAGGATTGTGCCTGCACTGTATTATCTATAAAGATAACTAGAGACTCTACTTCACATTCAGGTAAGTTCAGACAATACAAAGTTCTTCAATGACCCAAATTTCTTTCATTTTCCAAGTAAAATTGGGGACAATATGGTTACACAAAAAGAGCAAGCATTGAGGATTGACTGCATAAACCTCCAGTGCCATGTATCTATTAACCTCTATGTTGAGAGAAATTAACAGCATAAAGCTCTCATTTAGTAATGATCATGTTCTATAAGTAATGATGAGCAATAATTGCTTTAGGAAGACTTGCACCTGAGGAATTTTATCAATTATTTGGCAATTAAAACTAGTAAAACCGAAAATAAATTCTAAAATACTAAACCTGAAGTTGGAATTTTAAACCTACAGAAGACGTAATTGTGTTTTCCTTCCATCCGCGATTCATAACCTATTGGCCTAACAATGTAGCTTTTCAGAAATGGATTTCTCAATAGTGGCTCCCAAAAAGAGAGAATCTCAAGTCTCAACGGATCTAACTCCAATCCCCCAACTTTCATCTACTGAACGGTACTAAAACCGCAAATTCTAATACCAAAGCAATATACAGAAACACAAGTATAAAGGTTACCGGGAAGAAGTTCGAGGTGTTTATGGTGAGGAGCGAGATCTCGTCGACTTTGGGACGGAAAACAGCGAGCTGAGAGCTTGAGGGGAGAGAAAGGCGACGGTCGCAGGGAGAGAGCTGAATGGCCTTGTTGTTGTTGACGTTGGCAAAGGTGGCGTTCCTGGGCGCAAACAGAACGCCGAAGGTGAAGCCGTCGGACCTCTGAACCTTCGTGTCGGCACACGGCGAGTATACGTGGTTAGTGTTGCTGCTCGATTGTGCTAAGGGAAAGAGAGTTGAAAGGAGCAGTAGAGAGTAAGTTGCCCATGGCGACGCCATTGCTGGTTCGAGTTCGAGATCGAAAAGAACCAGATAGTCCAGCTAAAACCAGCTTTGCTCTTTTGAATTCTTTTTTCCCTAGTCGTTTTGTTTCTTAATCGGTTAATAATCGATTTAAATTTGAAGACTTGTGGTCTAATGGCACCAAAATTAGATTATCATATAGGAGAGTTATGAATTTCTCTTTGTGCTTCACTAGATTGAGAAAATAGTTATAAACAAATATTATATTTAATGACGTTAAAAAATAAAAATAAAAAAATTTTGAACCACGTTCTAGCAAAATTAAACATTTACAAGAAACCAATGCTTAACTTTTTTTTTGGTTACATGATGAGGGTTTAAACCCGTGAGATGACTATACAACTATCTCGCCCGCTCCTTGCGGGTTTGTCATCCGAGCCATTTCGGTCCCGACCCTGTCTTCCCATATTAGGTCCTCTACGCACTGCGGTTGATCACCCACGAGCCGCGTTCCGAGGTCATGGTCTAACGCGGTTGACGCTAATTTATATGCCACTTTGTTCCCCTCTCTCATCACATGGTTGAAGCTCACGTCCTGGAACACCCGTGCTTTCTGAGCACATAGTCGAACGATGTTGTTGCCCCTACCAGACCTAATGCACTCGGTAATCTGCTTGACCACGGCCAGCGAATCACTTTCCACCATAAGCCGCCTAGCGTGGCATCTCACCGCCAATCTTATCCCTATCAGTATAGCCCATAATTCCGCCTCTTCCGCCCCGCAGCAACCTATATTGTGCGTCAGTCCCTTGATCCAATGTCCTCTATTGTCTCGCAGCACTCCCCCACAGCCCGCCCGTTGAGTTGGGCCTTTACAGCAGCCGTCGACATTCAACTTCCACCACCCCATTGGAGGTTTCGCCCACGCAGTTGCTCTCTCATTGAGACGAGGCCTAGTGCCTGCTGCTTAACTTTAGACTTTAGAGTAATAATAGCTTTATTAACAAAAAATGATAATTGGAACTCGCTTTCAAACTTGTGAGGAGGTAAATTGAACAAATTTAGTTTTGATATTCGGTACTAAACTAAACACTTGTAATCGCTTTATATAAAATCACTCTGTATCATTCATGATACTGATCAACTTACGAATTCATTACAAGTGCCAATTGGGCCCATAATAAGATCCATGTTCAATAAGCTAAGACAACTCTTTATTAGACATGTGCAAAGATTGTGAAATTTAAATGAAAATCCAAGTCCAAATAAAGACCAAGAGCTTAAAGATTATTTTAATTGTGATTTTGTTAAATTTGTGATATTATCTTAGGAATGTAGCGACATTCAATTTTGTTTTCTAAACTAATTATATTTATTGCTTTCGTTGATCAAAAAAAAAAAAAAAATATTTATTGCTTTCGAAATGATTTAGAAGTAGATTCGGAAATTATTTAACTTGAGTGTATGACCAAACCCTACACTATTCTTATAACTATTCTTATAACTAAGGTTTAGTCATTCATTTATTATTCAGTTTTGATTTAATAAATTTATTTGAATTATTTTAAAGTCTCACTTTTATTTATTTAGAGTTCGATCTCATAATATTTCTAAAGGATGTAGTTATACTACATTGAAGATTGCTCGTGAATTATTGAATCTGTTACGGATCGCAACGAAAACTCAATGGATACAAATAATGTTCTCCTAGCTATAGTTTTTTCTCCTTCAATTTTAATCTAAAAATATGATTGTCCTCAAGAGTGAATAATCATACAAAGGAAAAACAATTCAAATGGTGGCATTCAACTTGAATAATTATTGATGATTTCCGAGTACTATTTAAGCATAGTATAGTATGTACACCCAACTTGTACTAAATGTTGTACCAGATCAAGGTTAGTACTTAGTACAACCTCAAAATAAAATAAAATAAAATAAGTACAACCTCAAAAAAGTTTACATGCATAGGTTTGAATGCTCTTTTATAGGCTAACATGGCTTGTCCTTAATTAGTTTCAAGAGTCGCATACAACAGTACTTCTTCAGAAAGATAAATGAACTAAAGAGCATCCATAATCATGGATATTATTGACTTTTTGCATATCAATAAATTTAGGAGGAGTTTTTAATAGGTGTAGAGAAGAGTTAGTTATTTCTCTTGCAATTTTAAGTTTATTGTGGGGATTACCATGTGAGAGAAAATGTATTGCAACACTGAACGCGCGCCCAAACAAGCGCGTGCATTGCACCGCCCACTGGCGCGTTCTTTTTTTTTTTTTTTAATTGTTTCTTTGCATCAGACGTGGTCACGCTTTTCTTTTTTTTCTTTTTTTATTTCTTTCTCTTTGTTTATTATCTTTCCTAGTAAGCTCATAAAAAATCGTGAATAATTCTAAACTGATATTGATGCTCTAAGACAAATAGACGTTCAACCAAAAAACATGGAAAAGTAACATAGGTCCTCGTAAAATAGTTAGCTTATCAGTTAATTTTAACTTATCTGATCACTATTAGTTATTTGACTTGATTAAAAAATCAGTATAAATGAATGACTAATCAGCTTTTTGTAATTTCAAAATGCTAAAATTTAAAAAGCTGTTCAAAGCAACTTTTTAAATAAGTTTTATTGAGAAAAGAAATTATACCAAATAGTTATAAGCTAACGGCTAATTTACAAAACACATTTCTACAATCCGCTAATGTTATCAACTAGTCATACCCTCTAACCTAATCAACTAACAATCATTTACCAAATAGTGCCTCTAACCCAATCAACTTCATACCCTCTAACCCAATCAACTAACAATCATTTACCAAACAGTGCCATAATTTACCGAGATCCAGAGATAGAGGGCTAGGGTGAATTTTATTTGAACAATTTATATTTTATCTCAACAAATAATATAATATATTCATTCTGAATCATTTTACTTATCTACTTAATATTCATTGGTTAAATCAATTATTTATTCTTTGTTTATTTTTTATTATCTTTTAAATTGTTAGATTACTGAGAATGTTAGATTTAGGAATGTGGGATGACCTAAGAAAACTTAATGTTACCTTCCACCAAACAGAAACTTGAACTCACAACCTTCCAAATGAAAGTCCAACCCAAGTACCATTAGACTACATAGTCTTAGTGTCATTTTGTATATAACTAACAACTAATTTATCAAATTTCTTTCCATATGTTATCAACTAGTCAAACCCGTTAAAGCAAGTTATTTGTCAAACACCCTTTTGTTTGAATGTTTGATGGCTTATTTGACACTCGTCACCCTACCAAAAAAAAAAAAAAAGAATTAAAAAAAGTAGTGATTCCGATTATGGTTATTCTCTGTTGCTATTACCATTTACCGCTGACCAAATGGAAACAACTTTCATTGTATATCCGCTAGCTTGAAAGTTGAAACCTGCAGGCCAGGCTGCAGCCATGGATCATCTTCCCAATACAGCCACCATCAACAACAACACATCCTACTCCCGCGGCTACCTAAGCACCGCCGGAACCGACATCAGCAGCTTCGGCTCCGCCATCGGAGTATCCATCGGAATCCTCTTCTTCATCACAACCATCACCTTAGCATCATACTTCTGCACCAGAAACCAGACATCATCATCCTCCTCCTCGTCAAACCAAAGACCGCAGCCCAGAGATCCTCAAAACTCAAGCGCGACCGAGACGGGGCTGGACGAGGAAACGCTGCTAAGCTATCCCAAGTTGGTGTTCTCCCAGGCGGCTAAAGTGAGCCGCAAGGATTCCACGGCGGCGACTTGCTGCTCGATTTGCTTGGCCGACTACAAAAGCTCCGACACGCTAAGGTTGTTGCCGGAGTGCGGTCATCTTTTCCACCTTAAATGCGTCGACCCTTGGTTGAGGCTGCACCCCACTTGTCCGGTGTGCCGGACGTCGCCGTTGCCGACGCCGCAGTCCACTCCGCTGGCCGATGCGGTTCCCCTCGCTAGCTTGCGCGTTCGATGAAATGAACGCATTATTATTTCTTGTTTAATTTGGTTTAATCATCTATCTCGTGTACACTGGACTATTCTTAAATGAAATAAATCAATTAATTATGGCGTGCGTTGATTTGTTAATTAGCAATATTGAAACATAAATATCTGATAAATTAGTTGTTAGCTGATTGTATTAGTGGATTTGACTAGTTAATAGTAATAACAAATGATTAGTTGTTAGCTGTTAGATGATTACATCCAAATGACCTTCTCAAAAAACTGATCTAAAAAATTATTTTAAGTAACTTCTTGAGCATTTTAGAGCAAAAAGTTGTTATAAAAAGCTAATTAATCAAACAATCATATTGATTGTTTAACAAAGTCAAACAGCTAATAGTGGTGAAATAAGACAAAATTGACTGATGGACTAATTATTTTACCTAACAGGATCAAAATGTTTTCATGTAAATGATGGAAAATTTGTACTCCGTATGTATTTTTTTTTCATTCAATTATACTCTTAGTACAAACTTAATCATGTATTATATGATCATCTTTAACCCTTAAGTTATGTACGAAATGTCAATTTTAGTCCCTTGATGATTATTTTTACTACAAATTTGTCACTTAATAAAATAGTTAATTTGATCCTTCAAGGACTAAAATCATCATTCCATGCATAACTTATAAATTAAAGATGAACACGCATATAACTCATTGACTAATTAAATCTGTATCACGTACAAGTATAACTGGAGAATAAAAATGTAATTTTTACTTAAATTATTTGTGAAAAAAATGTGGAAAAAAGGACGGATGAGCTGTATAGTATTGAATCGTTTGGTCCACCTCTGAATTTGCATTTGAAGTTTTGAACATAAATATATGCAGACGCAGTTGTGTTTGTTCACCTGATCGTACGGCTGAAACTGAATGAGATCCCTACATACTACAACTACCACGTTAAATATTCAGAGAGGACAATCCAAAAATACATTTCATTGTTCACAGTTCAAGCACAACTTTTTTGTTAAGAGTCTTGCTATACAGTCTTTCCTTTTCACATCAATTTTTTTTTTTTTTTTACCGTATAATTGTTTACAAAATTAAATTAATTTCTCATCAATGAAAATACTTTGGCCTTGTTTGGTTAACGACAGATCTACCAACAAGTCAAAACGCCAAAATTTTTGTTTGGTTAGACAACTGTTCGGAGCAATATTTTTGCTCCGAACCACTGCAAATAGCAGCGTTTGGATTTGGCGTTTTGGAGAAATTGCATGCAATAATATGTTTTGTGGAATAAGTTTTGATGTTGTTGAAAAAAATAGGGAAAAGAATCAAATAAGTGGTCAAACTATGAGCATAGTGCAATTAAGTCCATATATATTTTTTTAACTACAATTAGAGAGTATTGAGTTTGAACAAAAATGCAATTATTACTTTTAGCAAGTTATAATTAGGTAATTAATCTACTGGCTAGATATGTCATGCCACTTTTTTATATATATATATGGTGCTTGGTTCAAATTATAAAGGGAAAAGGTATAAATTCGTTATTGAACTATTTGGGGATAACAATTAAGTCACCGCACTCGAATAAACTTTAAATTTATCTATACAAAAAAATAATAATTAGCATTTTTAGCAGGTTTAACAACATATTTGGACTCTTTGCAATATCAAAATAAGATTGTTGTTATTGTTGTTGTTGTGGTTACGTTATGTTAGTTTTAAAAAAACACAGCTCAATGCCAAATCACCTAAAAAGTCACATGGCATATTTAGTCAATACGTTACCATTAGATAACATGCTAAAAGTGTTAATTGCAAGTTTTATGAGTTCAAATATCTAATTGATTTTTGAAATAAGAGTCAAATAGGTCATCTAACTGCACACGATAATGCAATTAGGCTACTGAACCTAAAAAAAAATACAATTAAATCTCTAAACTAATCAATTTTATGCAATTAGTTCAATTTGCAAGTTTTTCAAGTTTCTAACAGGTCACTGCAAATTTAAAATATTATTTAGAAATAATTATTTAAAATTAAAACAAAATTAAAAAAGTTGAAAAAAAATCGTCTCCGTCGGAGTATCTTCGTCTCCAGGACCGGAGACTTTTTTTATTAAATAATTATTTTAAACAATATTTTAAATTTGGAATGAGTTATTAGAAACCTGAAAAAACTTGTAAATTGGATTAATGGCATGAAATTGATTAGTTTAGAGATTCAATTGTAGTTTTTTTTTTTTTTTTTTTTTAAGGTTCAGTGAGCTAATTATATTATTGTTTACCTATTTGACCCCTATTCCTTGATTTTTTTTTTTAAATTCAAGTGCTTAATAATTATCATTCTTAAAATTTCATAACAAATAATTTAGTAATAGATGTATGTTTACATAATAATAAAAAAAAATGTATGTTTACTTTTTGGGAAATAAACCAAAAAAAAAAAAAAGGCACGGTTTTCTACTCTCAACTAAACAAACAAACAAAAAATGCTTTCTATTTTAGCAAAAAAAAAAAAAACATACAATGGAAACTATTTTATGAAAAATGAATAATTAATATTTTGTTAAATTTAGAAAAAAGTTACTCACCTTTCACAATCTTCTCCTTTTAATTCCTCGTCTCTACATGACATTGTTGTATAATTTAATACAAAATATTTGATTATAAATTGATAGGATGAGCTAAGTTCTAATGATTATAAGTCACATTAGAGAGAATTTAGAAAGAAAAAAAACATTAGAAGAGATAAAAGCATTTTATTATCTAAATAAACACTAAAGTAATTATTTAATAAATTTTGGAAATAATTATTTTTAATATTTATTTATTAAGATGACAAATTTAGCAAGGGAGTATAGAACCATTCTAAAAATAATTAGTCAAAATATAAGGAATTTCACGCAATTAAAAACAAGCACAAATTTAGCAAGGGAGTGTGCATCTCTGCATCGCTTTGTAAGTCTGATATTTTCCCCATTTTTTCTTTTCGCTGATCTCACATGTCGAAGAGCCTTCTTTCTCGTATAAAGCACCTGTGCAACCAGAAACCCAATCGCAGTTCACCCTGGACCCTCCGAGTCGCACCCCGCATCAAGGAACTCGTCATTGAGGTTTGCGAAATCCTCAGAACTCAAAACCACTGGGAACAGAATCTCGAGACCCGCCTTTCGGAGGCCCAAGTGGTTCCATCAGAAATTGCCTACCTTGTGTTCGACAAAATTCAGGATGCTGAATTGGGCTTGAAGTTCTTTGATTGGGTCTCTCGGAGACCCTACGGTTGTCCCCTTGATGGGTTTGCGTACTCTTCTCTATTGAAGCTACTCGCAAAGTTCAGAGCTTTCCCGGAAATTGAAGCCCTGTTGCTGGAGTCTACGAAATGTGAAGAGACGTTGCCTACAAGAGAGGCATTCTGCGACGTGATTCAAGCTTGTTCGAATTCCGGGTTGGTTGACAAAGCTCTCGAACTGTACTCATTTGTGTTGAAAACCTATAATTTGCTTCCAGACATAGTCGCGTGTAACTCTTTGCTTCATGCGCTTGTGAATAATGGTCGAGTTGAAGTTGCGAGGCGGGTGTATAATGAGATGGTTAGGAGGGATAATGGTATAGAAAATCATTGTTTGGATAATTATAGCACTTGTATAATTGTGAGGGGCTTGTGTAAAGAGGGTAAGGTTGATGAAGGTAGGAAACTTATCAGGGATAGATGGGGAAAGGATTGTGTTCCAAATATTGTGTTCTATAATATACTGATTGATGGGTATTGCAAAAGGGGTGATATTCAGAGTGCTTATAAACTTTTCCAGGATTTGAATTTGATGGGCTTTTTGCCCACAGTGGAGACATATGGAGCAATGATAAATGGGTTTTGCAAAGAGGGAAGTTTTGAGAAAGTTGATGAGCTTCTGAGAGATATGGTTGCTAGGGGTCTTTCCGTCAATGTCCATGTCAATAACACCATAATTGATGCTAAATATCGGCATGGTTCTGCATTGAAACCACTGGATGTTATTAGGAAAATGCTTGAAGAGGGCTGTGAGCCTGATTTGGTGACATATAATACTTTGATATCCGCTTCATGCAAGGCTGGGAAAATTGAGGAGGCTGAAAAGCTTCTAGGCAATGCAAGAGACAGGGGATTGGTGCCTAATAAGCGTAGTTACACTCCATTGATACACGTGTATTGCACACAGGGAGATATAGACAGGGCTTCAGATCTGCTTCTTAAGATGACTGAACTTGGTGATCCACCTGATCTGCCAACTTATGGAGCTTTTATCCATGGTTTTGTACACAATGGGCAGGTTGATGTTGCCTTGACTATTCTAGACAGGATGATTGAGAAGGGTGTATTACCTGATTCTGGCATCTATAATGTCTTGATGAATGGGCTGTGCAAAAAAGGGAAGCTTCCTGCTGCCAAGCAGCTTCTTTCTGAGATGCTTTGTAACAATATATTACCTGACATGTATATTTATGCCACTCTATTGGATGGAATCATAAGAAGTGGAGAGCTGAATGAGGCAAAGAAGCTCTTTGAACATGCATTTGAGAAAGGTGTAAATCCTGGGGTTGTAGGTCATAACGCAATGATAAAGGGATACTGTAAGTTTGGGATGATGAAAGAGGCCGTGTCATGTGTGTGTAGGATGAAAAAGATGAATACTTCTCCTGATGAGTATACTTATTCCACTATAATAGATGGATTTGCAAAGCAACATAACTTGGGTGGTGCATTAACAACATTCTGTCAAATGGTGAAACAGAAGTGTTTACCAAATGTGGTCACTTATACCTCTCTAATTAATGGGTTTTGCCACATTGGTGACTTTCAAAGAGCACTAAAATATTTCCATTATATGCAGTCAAATGGTTTGATTCCTAATGTTGTTACTTATACTATATTGATAGGTGGCTTTTGTAAGGATGGAGAACTTGCAAAAGCAGCATCCTTGTTTGAACAAATGCTAATTTCCAAGTGCTGTCCAAATGATTATACCTTTAATTATTTGGTTAATGGATTTTCAAATTATACACAATCCGTAGTCCTGAAGGAAGGAAATAATACTAAGAACTGCAAGACATCAATGTTTTTAGATGCTTTTAAAAGGATGATTTCAGATGGATGGCTTCCTAAAACTGCTGCATATAACTCAATTATTATTTGTCTTAGTTTACATGGGATGTTACAAGCTGCACTGCAATTGCAGGGAAATATGGCCAGTAAGGGTCTTTGCATGGATTCTGTTTCCTTTGCTGCCTTGTTGCATGGCATTTGTTTAGATGGAAAGTCAAAGGAATGGAAGAGCATTATTCCCTGCAATTTAAATGAACCTGAACTCTGTACTGCTTTGAACTACTCTCAAATATTTGATCAGTACCTAGCTCACGGTATGAACTTTGAGGCTTCAGTAATTTTGCACAACTTGGTCAATGACTGTAAGTCTCATTATCTTCACATGGATAATATTGAAGTTTCATAAAAAAAACGTGTTGGTTTCACTTGCCTTTCATGCATTTGCAAATATCTTTGAGAGAGTTGTGGGTGATTGGATGCCAAAGTCATGGGTAAGCTAGTAATTAGTTGGGTGTTGGAAAGACTCATGAAAAGCACATAAGACATTTGAATCTGGGCAATTGTATGAAGCACATGCTTTGCTGTACTTTTCGTGTGAAGCACTGAAGAACAAAAGGCTGATAGAAGTGCTTTTTGTTTAACTTGTAAAAATCAGCTTGCCAATCCCAAGAAATTGGTTCCAAATTGTCAGGCATTCAGACCCCAGCTCACTGTATTTTTCTCTCTTTCTCCTGCTTCTCTCCCTTCAAGCACAGAAATGGTAGAGAAAACCATTCATGGAGCTCCAGAAGCTCATTAGCAGATATTCACAGCTTGCAGAAGAAGCAACAACTACTACACAACCTCCAAGTCCAAAGGATTTTCTCTTTGAAGATTGTAATTGAAGGAAATGCCATAAATTCAGAGTTAGGGTTTGTCCCATTTTCTTTTTATTCTCTTTAAATCCCAAATCAGGAAATTTCTTGATATTTATATATGTATTGGAAAGTTTTACAATGCCAAATAGTAAAAATGCCTACTACTACTATTTTATTTATAAAAATGCTATTGCCCCATTCTATTTATAGTAGTTAGCATTCTTACTATCATGCATTATAGATCTTCCCAATAAATATATATATATATATATATATATATATATATATATATATGTGTGTGTGTGTGTGTGTGTGTGTGTGTGTGTGTGTGTGTGTGTGTGTATTTATTTATTTATTTATTTATTTGTTTATTGTACAAAAAGATGTGGAGTAAAATTTAGAGATGTTTATGATTTGGTGAATATCAGTTTCATGTCTTGATTTTATGCACTTATCCAGTTTAGTGGTGCTGATTTTTCTTCCATGTGGATTTTTCTTACTTTCTTAGTATGTACTTTGATTTTTACACTTTTAAAAAACATCCTTTTCATATTTTTGCCATTGAAAAAAAAAAAGGGGAAATGCAGCTGCCTGGTTTGAGGAAACTAGTTATGTATTTTCATTTTTGTTTGTTTCTTTGGCCTTCTGTAGTGGGTTGGAATAATTGGTCGTGCTCAAATTTGACTCAAGGAGTGACGGACTGAACATCAAGCTCAGTTGGGCTCAGTTCAACAATAGGGGAATTATTGGACCCTTGACAAGCTGACCTTATTGTGGCTTTCAGGGGTGACTACTGGGAAACTGCTATCAGAAGGGTTCATCAAAGGATGAAGAAAAGCCCCAAGAGCAGGTAAAGCCTTTGACCTTTAAATTATGGCACTCTTTACTGATAGTGTTTAGAGTTTTAGCTGAAGTGTATGTGGGGAGAGTAACTAACCTTCTTGATTGATATTTGCTTATTGCCACTTAATTTGCTGTAATATCTTTTATCTTATATTCTTATATTAGATTTGATCATGCAACAGCAAGTGTAAACTGTAACTTCAGTTTGAGATTTGAGCTTGATTGTATTTTCGTATTGGTTGGTGATATGCTCCAAGAAAATTTCTTGTCATAGTATTATGATGATTTTTTTTTCTAACAAAAGAATTTCCTTTCTTATTGTTGATATATTTTCACTTTGTTATGCTTCGTGATCAATAAAAGTGGCCGGAGCAACATGTCTGTTACTGTTTTAAATGGGGCTTTTTTCTCTCAATATTAAGGCATGCTCTTTATACATGTTCTTTGGACTTTGATAACAGTATTTGTTTTGAGTATCCGTACTAATGAATCTTTCTATTGGTTGAGCATAATTTTTTTGTTATGCTTTTGAAGAGCTCTTCAGTAAACTTATTGCTCCTGACAGGTAGGAAGATGGGAGGTTAATATCAGAGGCGCAAATTTCAATGTGCAGATATGGAAGCTACCAAAAATATTTGGAAATGACAGTCCGTTTGGCTCTTCGTTTTTAATCTACAGTCTATTAACTATTAGGCTAAGGTTTGAAGAACAATCATCTTGTTGTTTTCAGATGCGGATCAAGAGAAAAAGAGACAAGTTTGCAGCCATAAACAAATGGGTTGTGAACTCTGGACTACTATAAAGTGAGTGATTCTTGGTGGCAGATGGGTTATAAGCAACTTCCTTGTGTGTAGTTCATGGTTTTAATACTTCCATTAAGAATTGGGATAAAATTTATTTTGGCCCGATGATGAAAGGTGTGAATTGGATCCCGGTATGATCAGTGGGTTGAGTGTGGGATTCACAATTTACCTCTGTTGTGATTCTAAGTATATTAATAAAAAAATTATTTTGATTTTGATTTTGATTTTGATTTTCATCCATTACTAAATAAAGAGTCTATTTTTATTAAAATTCATTCTAATTATTGAGAATTTGATTTCAATTTAAATACTTCAACCAAACATGAAACACCCCTAAGCTTGTAAAGTGTGTGATTAACAAGATGGCCTTGCAATTGTTGTATATGAATCTTTATCAATAACATTTTTAATCTAAATGATCTCAAAGGTACATTTCTGTTTTATCTTTTAATGAAACACCATTTACTTAATTTTAAAAATTGTGAGAGTTTATAAATTCGTTATTCAGTTTTCACTTTCATATTTGCAAATATAGAACATTTGCCACCCCACAAACATACAAACACTTGCTTTAATATTCTTATTGGTTATTTCTTCTTTTAATTCTTTTTGTCTTTGAACAAATAAAATTATTATTTGAACTACAACTATTTAGGTTTAATTATGAGTATGTTATTAATTGATGGAATAGTGAGTTCTATAATAATTCAATAAGTCCAACTTAACGACTAATTAAAGAGTGTATAATGGTTAAAAAAAAAAGTGTATAATGAATAGAGATCCACTTTAGTTGCCTTAGTCAAGGCTATTATTCGAGATGTGTGTACAATCATATATGCCTTAGGGCAACCTTAATAGGGGGTTCATCACCAAATTTTAAAATAGTAAAATCCCCTTAGGTTAGATTTTGACAAATGGGAATGCAAAATTTTCACAAAATCTTCCTCCTGCAATTCAAAGAATCATGTCAGAATTTTTAAAAATCTTCCTCCTGCAATTCAAATAATTAAAATATGGAATTTATAGTAGTCCAGGTGATCTTGCTTATAACCCATCTGCAAGGGTGGATGCCCGCATGGGTAGCTCAACTGGTCATAGAGGTGAAACTTTGGAAGAATGACCAGTGGGAGTAATCTCTCAAAGTGAGGGGGGCTCCTTGTGCGTAGTGAGCATCGGTCTAGCCTCTATGGTTCATGTTCAGGGACGGAGGCACCTTAAGGGGTAGGGTGGCCTTGGCCCCCGCCCCCCCCCCCCCCACACCCCTACCCTCACCTTAAATTTTTTAGTAAATATGTATGTATATATTGATGTAATAGGGATAAAATACACTTTTGGCCCCCCTCTAATTTTTTTTTTTATAAGAAAAATCTATTATGTTTATATTAAATAAACTCAAAATATATATTAAAGTTCAAATTCATTAAATAAAAAGAAATAAATCAAATAATTAAAGTGACCATTTTTCTTTATTATCTTATTTCTTTTATCAAGATTTTAATAATGAATGGCATCAAGTATACATTTTAATTTAAAAAAAAAATCTCCAAATTTGATATATATATGGTGCAATTAATTATAATGTGGACTAACATTGTAAATTTTTTCTACTATATTGGCCCCCCCCAACTCAAGTTTTCTGGCTCCGTCCCTGTTCATGTTCAGTTGAGTCATCGGGCCGGGGTGTGGGGGGCCCTTAGGGTTGGGGTTCAACTTTTGGAAGAATAATTAAAATATGGAAATAAAATGATAGGGCCGAATAATTAAAATGTGAAGTGGTACTCATGGACTAACTTTTGTGATAAGTTATTGCCTTGGATCAATCGTTATATCCTACACCACGGCGCACATAGTACTGTGCGCCGCGCGCCTCCCAAAACGACGTCGTTTTGGGGTAGTGTTGGGAGACGCGGTAGGAAGTTGCTGAGATTATGTGTATTTGTTCACAACGTTATGTGTATTTGTTCACAACGTTATGTGTATTGGTTCATACAGTTATGTGTATTTTTTATACAATTATGTACATTCTTTTTATACAATTATGTACATCCGAATCAGAAAATTTGTGTGTATTTATGTTAAGAGTTGATGTGTATTATGTTAAAAATTTATGTTTATTATGTATTATGTTAGATTATGTGTATTATCTTTTAAAAAGAGTATGTATATTTTGTTATATAATTATGTACATTCATGTATAACATTATGTGTATTCTAGTATAACATTATGTACATTCTTGAACAGCGGGTTTTTTTTTTAAAGAAAGACTGTTGCCATTCACTGGGGCGGGAAATTTCAAAAAAAAATAAAATAATTAAAACGACGTCGTTTTGCATCTGGGCGCATAGTGCAACGCGCGCCGTGGTGTAGGATATAAATTGCCGTCTTTGATGGGGTGTTTCATGTTTGGTTGATTTCTTTTGATTTCTATCCATTATTAAATAAAGAATCTATTTTTATTAAAATTCATTTCAATTATTGAGTATTTGATTTCGATTTAAATACTTCAACCAAACATGAAACACCCCTGCTTCGGAAGCATTATGTTGTAGAATCGGGTCCACCTTGCAAGGTGGATACGGTTCTATGTTCATAATTATTGAACTATATGTTCATAATTATAAAGTGAGTGAATTCCATTTTTGGTCCTACTGTTATAGGGGCGTTTCCAATTTTAGTCCACCTTAATTTTTTTTGCCACTTTATAACCACTATTATTGAATGTGTTCCATTTTTAGCCCCACAGTTAGTATTTTCATCAAGAGGCCGTGTAATCTAGGGGTATTTTGACCTTTCTTCTCATCCAAGACTATGTTTGACTAAAGAAATGAGAACATTATACCTAAAACCTATGAAACCTCGCTGGTTCATGTTGGAACGAACGAAACGATGTAGCTTTGGCTTCCCATTCTCGTTGTTCGAAGAGTCATCTTCGAATATCGGAGGAGGAGGACGAACCGCCTGGATTAAAAAAGAAGAGACAAACATAAAAAGACCAAAATACCCTTTGATTATACGGCCTCTTGACGAAAATATTAACGGTGGACTAAAAGTGGAACACATTCAATAACAGTGGTTGTAAAGTGGCAAAAAGAATTAAAGTGGACTGAAATTGGAAATGCCCCTATAACAGTAGGACCAAAAATGGAATTCACTCTTATAAAGTTAGATATTCATAATTTTTGAACTTCATATTTATAATTACTATATTCACAATTACAAAACTCTATGGTCATAATTACTGAACTATATGTTTATAATTATAAAGCTACATATTCATAATTTTTGATTTCATATTCACAATTATTGAATCTCTATATTCATAATTACATAACTATAGGTTCATAATTATGTTCACAACTCTATATTCATAATTATAGAACTATATGTTCATAATTTTTAAATTATATATTCATAATTATAGAATTATATGTTCATTATTTTTGAGTTATATATTCATAATTATGAACAATTTTAAAATCGTGTCAACCTTACAAGGTGGAAAAAGATTCTACAACATAATTTGCCCTGGGAACTTGGGAATTGGGATGCCGTAAGAGACTAAAATACTCAGGACTTAACAGTAATTTACTGCGATTAGATAATTTTCCTAACGCTGCCACCTAGACGATCCTCCGGCTAAAGCCACGTTCCTTGTTCTACGCTCTTCACTCCTGATTCCTTTCTACTCTCTTCACCGACCCTCCTTCGTCTGCAAGTCTGCTACTGCTCTCTCGCTCTCTCTCTCTTTTCTGATCATTAATGGCGGAACTGAAATTCATCGTTGTCCTTGTATTGTCTCTCTGTGCGATCTTTCCTCTGAGCTCAGCCACGTCCAATGACTTTCAGTATTGCAGTACGTTCCTCATTCCCCTTTGACCTTTTTTTCCCCCAAATTTATTACTGCCTATTATTATTATTGTTATTGTTGTTGTTGTTGTTGTAATTGTAGTTGTCAGTTCATTCGATCTAACAGTCGCCGAATTTTACTTGCCACAAACCAATTAGCTAATTCTTTTATTTTAATTTTTTCCTACAGTTTCCTAGATGCCTAGATTCAGGGGTTTAGATCCTAGTTTGATCGGTTCGTTATTTGTTCGTCAAAATTACTAACCGAGTTCACTTATTTGATAAAAATTGGATTTCTAGGGTCAGCTAAAATAAGGCATCTTTCTTTCTAGGTGAATTTGTTTAGCGGTATTATCTTTTGATATATTTTCTAGGTTTTGCTTGTTATTAATTACGGAATTTAAAAAAAAAATTTTTAAAAAATTAATCCAAGGTTCAATAAATATTGTAAAAATATTCTTAAAATTCACCTCCCAAAAGGTTGAATCCCGAACTCCAAATGGCTTAGCAGACACGGCCAAAATGCCTACTAAATCATTGAGCTAAGCTTGTGTGGACAATATTCTTAACATTCTTTTATGGCGTTTTGTTGTATTGGACTTTTAGTAGTTGCTGAAAACTTGGAGTTAGTGTGATTTGTATGTGGTTTACCAATAGCTTGTCCTTCTTTTTATTTTGTTTTATTCTTTTCTTTTTTCAAGGATTTTCCTAATATCATACGTGCAGGCAAGAAGAAGAACTATGATGTGAAGGTCACTGGAGTTGACATAACACCTTCTCCTGTGCAAAGAAGTGTGGACACCACTTTCAGTATAGCTGCTTCCACAGGTGATGGGCTTATTGAATTCAGTTTCGTAGGAGTAGTTTTTTCATCCCATATTTTATGCGATGTATATTTTTATATTGACTGACAGTTGTACATATTTTGTGTGGCTATTCATCACAAAGTGGCATAGTCGTTCATTGGTTGCTCATTTCTAATGAATCAGCAAGATGATAAGTGTTTGCATAGATTGTGTGCATTCATTCTATCCAATCCATCTTTCTCTTATTGAAGTATGCACTATGAAGAAAGAGGAGATGAGTCAGGAGTGTAAGACTAAGATGGATAATAGAGGTAGTATTTAACCAAGTAGGCAGCTCTAATTGCATCCCTCAACAAAACGAACAAACAAAAAAAAGAGTAACACTAAAGAGGGATAATAAAAATGTTATTTAAACTTGAACATAAAAGGTTGATCTCATTAGCAACCATCAATGAAAAATGAACCATTTATTATCATCAATGAAAAATGAAGAAGATACTGTTGAATAGGGGAGAATTCGTCTTAATGAATCAGCAAGATGCTCCTGGAGGCCAGGAATTGCATATTGTTTTATAAATACAATATTAGATTCGTCTGTATGTACTCCATTTATTATCATATAGATTTTACTTTTTAGTTAGCTGGACTCTAGAGTTCTCTTCCCTGTTATTAATTACAATGCCGGAAGTTTGACTTAGATTTGTCATTTCAGATAAAAGCATATCTTCAGGAAAACTGACGGTTGAAGTCAAATACTTCTTCTTTAGCGTCTACAGTGAGGACCACGACCTCTGTTCAGAGACATCTTGCCCTATTCCTGCTGGTGATTTTGTCATTGCACACACCCAAGCTTTGCCTGGGTATACACCCCCGGTAAGACTTCTTTCCAGTTCTTCTAATTTAGTCATGCTTATATTGATGATGCCCATTCTGCACATTTCCTCCTTAAGAATCATGTTTAATATTTCATTTGTCAAGACAACGTCCTAAAAGCCCATCTGCTTTTGTTCAGAAGTGAATTGGTGATTTTTTTGTATTGCTAGAGCTCTATGAATTTGATAGAATGATTCTGGTTTTGGAAGATGGGTTCTTCATTCTCCTTTTATTTTATTGTGATTTGCCTCTGTTGGTGTTGGGGGTGATCGCATTCTTTTGTATACATTTAAGATAAGAACATGGTAACTACACTATCTTCCTTTTCCCGGCATAGATCATCCTATCACCTGACAATGTTTGGAAAATCCAGGGCTCCTACACTCTTACAATGAAAGTGAAGGATGAAAAGAACAACGAGTTGTCATGTATCACCTTCGACTTCAGCATCGGATTTCTTGCAGAGGAACCCAAGGCAGTTGCTGATAGCTAGGCACTTGAGGACTCATCACCTACTTGTTATTGTAGTCCTCCCACTATCAATGTGATCCCTTTCGTTGTTCTTCCCAGTGTCTTTTTGTCTGGTTTGTAAAAATACCTTAGACAAGCAATGCGTGGCCGGGCATATATCTTCTCAGCTATGTCTCTGCTGCTACTTTTTAATTAACAAGACTATGAATACCTGTGGTTACTCTGTTACATGTTCATTACCTGCTATTGTGTTACAAATCATGCTATTTTTTTTGGGTCAGGTCATGAGGTGTCCTGAGCATGTCATAATTGGGGCAAATTATGCCTTGGACTCGGGTCCAAAACGGTGTCATTTTGCTTCAAAAAGATGCCGTTTGAATTTTAAAAAAAAATATTTTCTTTTTTTGCTGTTTGTCTTTAGAATCCTCACAAAATAAAATAAAAATATTCACAATTTTTGAACTCTATATTCATAATTTTAGATCTCAATATACAAATTACAGAATTCAATATTCACAATTTTAGATTGTTAATTGTAGAAAATATTTTTAAGCTCGTACACAAAATGTTAGCCAGATTGATTTTCTGCCCCATCGTGGGCTCTATTTTTGGTGGATTTTTATGGGCCGGCCCGTGAAGCCCGTGGGCTGAGAAATACATTGCTCGAGCTTGTCCCGTGCAGGCTCGTGGGTCTAGCTGACTGGCCCACGGGCCATCAATAAAATAAAAAAATTATTTTTTTTGAAGGGAAAAAATTATTAATCTATTTAAATAATATATTGAAAATTTGATGCTAAATCTGTTGAAAAATTACCATTTAAGAGGAAGTTGTGAACAAAAAATAATGAAATATTTATATTTTAATTTCCCCTAAAATCTGCAGAGAAGGAAGATTAAAGTTTATATTCTATTACTGTATTCTAGAAATTTTATGATTGAAGCTTTTGTAGCCAACAAAATTTACAAATCACCTTCTCTCAAAAAGCACAACAACATCGCCACGATTGATTTGCAATAGAAACACATAAGAAAAAAAAATAAATCAAAAACACTAAGATGCCACAAATAATAAACACATCATTAGCACAATAAATTATATTAAACAAATCATCAGCCATTGCAAATTGAGAGAAGTGTGGGCCTGCGACTGCCGGCGAGAAAGATCCAGAGATCAGCAACGACAATTGGAGACCTGGAGGCTGGAATGATAAAGAGGCAGTCGCAAAAATAAAATATGTCCTGCCCCGCATTTTCGTGGGCCAGTTATCCTACGGCCCTAACCCGCTCTACCGCGGGGCGGTTGCGGTAGACCCGCGGGCTTTGGTCGTTTTATTAAAAATGCGCGTCTCTCCTTCAAAAAAAATTCAGGTTCGATTCCCAGCAACAACATTATGTTGTTCATTCATTCTAGAATTTTAGTTTATAGATTATGGAATTTTAGTTCATTATTCTGGAATTATAGTTCATCAATTCTGGAATTGTAGTTCATTGATTCTGAAATTTTAGTTCATAAATTCTAGAATTTTAGTTCATTCATTCTGGAATTTTTAGTTCATAGATTAGATTCTGAAATTATAGTTCATTGATTCTGGAATTTTAGTTCATTTGTTGTTGCTGGGAATCGAACCTGAATTTTTTTTTTTAAAGAGAGACGCGCGTTTTTAATAAAACGACGTCGTTTTTTCACCCATATACACCATGCATGGTGCATACGGATGCACAACATAATTTGCCCTAATCAAGCTGATTACCATGGTATTTAATTCTTAATCATTAATATTATATTAAATAATGTAAAAAAAAAATTGGATATAAGACTTTACAACTGAATTAACACAACACAATATAGAAACATATTATATATACCCTTATATCATATTATATTTATAATAACTATGGAGTATTAAACTATAACGTGAATCAATAGCCGATAGTATTTAAAAAAAAAAAAAAACTATAACATGAGTTATATGTTTTTGCTTTTGTTTTGTTTTTTAAAATTTTTTTCATGATAAAATATTAAAATATGAAAATTTTAATGAAGAAAGCTGGTATTCCAAAATCCAAGTCATACTACTTCCTAATCCGTATGGTAAATGGGTAATTCTCCAATTTATTGTAATTTTCTTTGATTTGCATGTTTTGAGACTTTCCAACTGAAAAACCTGTCACCTGGCTTCCCTCTCCCTCCCGTTCCTGCAAATATCAAGATAGATAGAAATTTCAAAATCAAAACCCTAATCCAAACCCGCAATCCCATAAACGAAGATTATGTATATATGTTGTTAATTACATAGAGACACAGAAATACTTGCCCCGTATATAGCAATATAGGCATTATGTTTTTACATAAACACATAGAAATACCGTCCTCTTCTTCTTAATTTGTTTACTATACATTGAATTTTTGGCAGATTGTGTGAATACAACCGCTCTCACGCGAAGGTAAGTTAGTGTTTTCTTCCTTTTTCATAAAAAAATTGTTTATTTCTTAAAAGTTTAGGATGATATAAACGCAATTAAAAATGTTTGTGGTTTAATGGTTGATATACAGAAGAGGTGTTTGAATTGGGGCTCATTTTGTTTGGGGAAAAGATATTAGGGTTGTTGAAACTTGAAATTGATTCTGATGATTAGGGATTTGGGAAAAAGGAGAAGGATAGTAGATAAATGGGAAATAAATGTAGTCGTGGAAAACTTACAAAGAATGGGATCTTTAATAGACTGTTTTGGTGGTGTCGACCACCGAATATTCTCAAATTCACTAAGAGAAAAGCAATAAAGGGTGAGGCGGCAACCTCAGAGGCTAAAGAGGCCGAAGGTATTGTTCCAGTCCAGAACAAACCCCCTGAGGTGGTTAAGATCGAAAAGGAGGAGAAGAAGGAACATCGTGCCCCAGGTGGAGGTGTGCAGCAGATTGGCAATACAGGAAATGACAAGGAAAAAGCAGCGAAACCCCGGAAGCCAAACAATGTGAAGAGAACGGTCAGTGCTGGGCTGCAGGTTGAGTGTGTGTTGAAGACGAGAACCGGGAATTTGAAGGACTTCTATAAGTTGGGGGACAAACTTGGGTATGGGCAGTTTGGGACGACTTTCCTTTGTATTGAAAATGCGACTGGGAACAAATATGCTTGCAAATCTATATCGAAGAGGAAGCTCGTGACTAAAGAAGATGTGGAGGATGTGAGGAGAGAAATCGAGATTATGCATCACTTGGCAGGTCATCCTAATGTCATATCTATCAAGTACTCGTATGAGGATTCTGTGGCAGTTCATGTTGTAATGGAACTATGCACGGGAGGCGAGCTCTTCGATAGGATTGTTAAGAGGGGGCATTACTCTGAACGACAGGCAGCCCAGCTCACTAGGACCATTGTTGGTGTAATTCAAGCCTGCCACTCCTTGGGGGTTATGCATCGCGACCTTAAGCCCGAAAACTTCCTGTTTGTCAGTGGGGATGAGGATTCACCTTTGAAGACTATTGATTTTGGATTATCAACTTTTTTCAAGCCAGGTATATATGCCCGTTTTTAGCTTTTTTATTGGCCTTTAGGACATGTAATCAAGAGTTGAGAACAATGAAATGCAGAGAAGAAGAGAACAAAATCCAAACACTAATCTCTGTGTTTGAATTGCCATGGAAAGCACAGTTCTGGCACAACATTTCTGGATATTGATGCATTTATCTATCTATCTTTTAATTGTTTTCTGAAACATAGGGGAAGTTTTCGAGGATGTTGTTGGCAGTCCTTATTATGTTGCTCCTGAAGTTCTGAAAAAGAATTACGGTCCAGAGGCTGATATTTGGAGTGCAGGCGTGATAGCTTACATCCTTCTCAGTGGTGTGCCTCCATTTTGGGGAGGTAAGCGGATATCTGTAGTTTGAAAAGCACCAGAGTTTCTGTAGTCTACCTTGTTTATGTGAAGTTGCAAAAATTGGTCTAGGCGCCCCTAGACCGTGGCGATTTCCCCCTAGGCGCCTGCCTAGGTGACCGGCCGCCTAGCGTCTAATTCGGCCGACTTGGCTTGTGATATTTGATTGAATGTTGAAAACAACCTCATTAAAATTTTCAAACTGCAAGTCTGCCACTGATTTTTTGTTGCCCGCCTAGCGCCGCCTAGATTCCGCCTAGGCGCTGTCTGGGCGCCTGACTAGCGCCTAGCGCCGCCTAGATTCCGCCTAGGCGCTGTCCGGGCGCCTGACTAGCGCCTAGCGCCTACTGCAACCATGGGAATCTGTGCACACAAGATTCTCATCCTTCTCTCGTGTCAATATTTGATGCAGAAACCGAGCAAGACATATTTGAAGCAGTCGTGAATGGTGATCTTGACTTCAAATCAGAACCCTGGGCTAAAATTTCTGAAAGTGCTAAAGATGTAGTAAGGAAAATGCTTGATAGAGACCCGAAAAAGCGACTAACTGCTCATGATGTTCTCTGTAAGTCACTATGATTTGTTTTGGTTGTATATTTGGTGTCAGAATTTGAATGTTCATTAATAAGGAGAACTATTTTCGCAGTAAAAATATGTTAAATGACATTTCCTGACAAATTGCCAATTTAAAGCTCTAATTTACCTGTTTCTTTGAACAGGCCATCCATGGGTGCAGGATAATGGGGTGGCTCCAGACAAACCTCTTGATTCAGCAGTTTTAACTCGTTTAATGCAGTTTTCAGCGACGAACAAACTTAAGAAAATGGCTCTCAGAGTAAGTGTTTGTTGTTGAAAACAAGTAATTCTTTATTGGAATTAATGGCTAAGATCATACTATTTTAACCTGATTTTGGAACACATACATATAGTGGAAATTCTTCTCTTTTCTGTCAGAAAGACTTGAACTCTATTCCATCTGTAGGTGATTGCAAATAACCTTTCTGAAGAGGAAATTGCTGGATTAAAAGAAATGTTCAAAGCAATCGACACAGATAACAGTGGCCAGATTACATTTGAAGAACTGAAAGATGGACTACATAAATTTGGTGCAAATCTTAACGAATCTGAGATACAGGATTTGATGAAGGCTGTAAGTATAAGTAACATTTTCCTCCATATTCGTTCTCGTGTTCTTCTAAATTGTCCATACTATCTGTATATACAAACTACAACCCCGCTATGCTTTTTTTGTGAAAACACAGACTGATGTGGACAACAGCGGGACTATTGACTATGGGGAGTTTATAGCGGCAATGCTGCACATGAACAAAGTTGAGAAGGCGGACCATTTAACTGCAGCCTTTTCTTACTTCGACAAAGATGGCAGTGGCTATATCACAGCAGATGAGCTTCAAAAGGCTTGTGAGGAGTTTGGCTTCAGGGACGTCGTCTTGGAGGAAATGATCAGGGAAGCTGATCAAGACAATGTAAGTCGTCACGTTTTCTTTAACATAAAAACTATAGTTTTTTACGATTTCTGTTTCATTATATACAAGCAACACTATGCACTCCTGTCTTCATTTTTCATCGCTTTCATGAATATATTTCAGGATGGCCGGATAGATTACAATGAGTTTGCTGCCATGATGACCAAAGGAAATGCAAATTTAGGCCAGAAGCGATTACCAAATACTTTCAGCATTAGCTTAAGGGATGGAGTGCAGAGTTGTTGAAACAGTATGCATTATTTTCCTTCTGTTTTGAGTCTCCATTACCCCCCCCCCCCCCCACCCCCCAACCCCATCCTCCCAACCCTTTTTTAATTTTTTTTTAATTTTTTTTAATTTTTTTTAATTTTTTTTAATTTTTTTTTTTTTTTTTTTTTTTAATTTCTAGCTTTGATCTATCTGTTTGTTGGTAATCTGGGTTTAAAACTGGAGTGGCATTCATGCTTTTCACTGCAAATGATTGTGCATATCTGTGTGGAAAGTATGGTGTTCTAATCAATCTTTTTAAATGACAGAAATTTCAGCTTGACTTAGCTATTGTTGGCCCCAATATCATTTCAGTTTATGATATAATTCACAGAGATTATAAAAGATAAGGATGGTTCATCTGCCATTGATTAGGAGATAAGGTAGCAAAGGGATATATATATTTATATATATATCCACAATTATTGTTCACCTTTCAGGACTTCATACATCAACTTACATATAATTGCAATACAACTATAACTATTATTAGGGGATTATGATGCACCAATAATTGATTAGATAAATGTCCCTTATGGGCCTAATTTAAACCCGACTAAATTAATCTCTTGTAGAATGCGCGTATCAATGTATTACGTCTAGAAAGAAAAATAAAAAAAATCAAGAAGATTAGAGGGAATGATGAACACACATGGTTGAAGATCATGGGCTTGACAGCATTGTACAAGACACGAAAAAATATTCTATTTGTTAGTTTAAAGCAATGTCTTGAATGAAATAAAGAAAATCAATTCAACATGATGCATGTACTTTGCACATTTGTTGTTTTCTGCTGTAGATGCAATATGTTTGTTTAGGACCAACCAAAACTAAGAACAAATTATTAATATGTGAATTTAAGCGCAAATTATATCGCGGACTAAGGTCTACCATATGCACTATGTACCCTGGTCCACATTATGTATTTGTAATTAATATAGGAAAAAATGTTAAATTGTCTCCTTAAGTGGCAAATTATTGTATGGACCATGGTCCACACAATGTTATGTGGACCATAATAAAATGTACATTTTTAATATACTAAATGTACATTATTTTTGTACTGAATGTACATTATAAAATATAATGTACACTCAAAACAAAATAATGTACATCCCCTGAATATAATGTACATTATTTTTGTACTGAATGTACATTATTTTTGTACTAAATGTACATTATTTTACAATAGACAAAATATGGTCTACACAACTTGTGTGGACCATGGTCCATACAATAATGATTGCTGCAAGTCAAGTGGATAGTGCAATTGGGTTTCCTAAGTGAAAAAAACTTCATTCAAGCCCCCTAAATCGGTAAAAATTGTTCAATCAAGTCCAATTTGACTTGTTTATCAGGTTAACTCGATACGGTCTTGACACGTGTCCATTTTATTTTATTTTTTAAAACAAAATGTTTTTTAAATTAAAAATTAAAAATATTATTTATTATAATAAATAAAATACAATAAAATAATAATAAAAAAGAGAACAGCCATCGGCTGTTCGCGCCGGACAACGGGTGGCTGTTTTCTTCACGGACAGCTGTGGCTGTCAAGCAGGACGACCACGGTCGTCTAAGGAAGACTCAAAAAAGTGCAATTAGGCTACTAAACACTCCAAATGTATGCAATTTCACCGGATAGTAGGTTACCATCAATTTTAGCAGGTTACCTGCTTACGTGGCAGCTGAGTTGGCATTTTTAATAATTTTAAATAATTTTTTAAAAAAAAATTATTTCACCGATAGTAGGTTACCATCAATTTTTTAAAATTTTTTATTAAAAATTATTTAAAATGTCAACTCAGATGCCACGTAAGCAGGTAACCTGTTAAGATTGATGGTAACCTGCTATCAGGTGAAATTGTATACATTTGAAGTGTTCAGTGACCTAATTGCACTTTTTTTTTTTTTTTTTTTTTTTTTTTTTTTTTTTTTTTTTTTTCATTCAGTGGCCTAATTGCATTTTCAATGTTACGTTCAGTAGCCAATTTGAACATTATTCCTTTAATGTTTATTAAAATGTTATTTAACTAGAGGACCAAATTTGAAAAAAAAAAATCAATAGTCAATGGACCACTTATGGTTAAATTGAAAGTCGATGACGAAAATTGGTAAAGATCAATAGTCAAGGGGCCATTTATGGTCAAATTGAAAGTAAAAGGATGAAAATTAGTAAATGACGATAGTTAAGGAACCATTCTTGAAATTAACTCTTAATATATTATATACTTTCAGGTAACAAATTTTGTATATGTTATAATCTTATTCTAAGTTTTTAATATGTGAATGGTAGGTAAATAAACTAACGGTACATAATATATCAACTGCATATACATGATTTAAATTATGATTCACAATGTAAATAGTGGAGTATGGTCTAAGGTGCATAGGTTCAAAAATTAAGGTGCATAAGTTCGAAACTTTTTAAGGTGCATCAGGTCGAAATTTAAGGTGTATCAGGTCGAAACTTAAGGTGCATCACTTCAAAACTTATGGTGCATCTGATCAGAACTTAGGGTAAATCAGGTCAAAACTTAAGATGCACCACTTCGAAACTTAACGCGCGGCCTCAGTATTAGGTATGCAAAACAATGAAATGCACCAATGCACCACATGCCAAAAAAAATGCACCATACCTACCACACCTAATGGTACGTTTATCGTACCTAATTGTGCGTTTTGTGGTGATGCGTACCTAATGGTGTGCTTTTGTGGTGTTTGGTGCATTTCATTGTTTGTGCGTTTCCGAACACTATTGGTGCGTTTTCGGATACCTAATAGTGAGACCGCACCAACCGCACGTTAAGGTCTGACCGCATTTGAATTGACATTTACACATGCACCAAAAAAACAAAAAAAATACACAACACTTAATGTTGCATTTTCAAACATTTTGTGATGCATTTATGTTTACCTAATGATACGTGACTGCATGACCGCACGAAAAACACTTTCCGCATAGTAACCTATATATATGCGCAAAATCTCAAAGAGTAGGCTTGAATCCAACGTACCACCTGCAAAATCCCACAACTCTACTCCCCCAAATCGATCATTCTCCAACCACCCACGAACGGCTGAGATTAGTCCACCCAAAACCGTTGGGATAGATGGAACCTCCGGCACGTTGTGACAGCTAACACTTGTACAGTTGTCGGTACACGTCAGAGATGGCACCAGAGTGGGACCCGTGCACATTGCTCAGTCGTGCCAAGTAGGCTGGGCGCACGACAGCCCACCTAAGGCGGTGTTTGTGTTTCCGAAAATCCGAGTGAGGAGAGAATTGGCGTTACGTTATTTTACACTCTCATCACCTTTGCCTTAGCCATTCCTCAATGATTGGGCGTCCCCTCCTCTTTTACTCTTTCACCATTTTGCCCTCGTTACTCCCATTTTACATCATTTAATGCTACGTATATATAGTGTTGTGCTACACGGCTACATGCACCAAATTCAGTGTATGTATTTGTCTATGTTGTAAACAGACACCAATTTTATAAAGGAAGGGTTTGTCACCTCAAGAATTAGTTAAAGTATAAATAGAGTTTATATAGATATGTCTAATTCAATTCTATTGTTCGAGCCTAATTATTAGGATGACAATTTTAATATGTCTCCCATATATTCATATTGCATGGATCAAAATTTTTTGAGTGATAGTGAATAGTGGGTCGAGTGGGTCTTAAAAATTAAATCTGCGATTGGTCGGATATATATATATATATATATATATATATATATATATATTAGATCAAGTACAAATGCTTCTACAGGTAAAAAATACACACAAATACTAACCGTAGATGTATTCTAAATTAACAGCCAAGATTCAATAATATTAATTAAAAAACATGCGGGTGACATATTTGTAATTTTGAGTAAGTAGATCATATTGTCTTTTGTATTCGAGTGCACATTTTACTTCTTTGAGTGCACATTTTTCCGTCAAGTGTATATTTCTCTTCTTCGAGTGCACATGTTTTGTTTCAGTACTTAGTTTCTCCTTTGAGTACGTGAACATCTTTGAGTCTTTGAGTGCAAACATTTGACCTTCAAATGCACGGGCGTTTTGTAGCCTTCAAGTGCATGTTTTCCTTTCTAAGAGTGCATAATTAATTTTCTTCTAATTTTCCTGATAGGCATATACTTAACCGTATTCGGGTTAAGCATCGTCCTACTGGTCGGTTTGGCCTCTTCACAGTACGAGCTCTCAGAACCGACTGGTCCCAAACGCAGCCGATTAATTCGTCTATTCCCGGGCACCTTCCCGAGAGCGTGTGGTGTAGTTAGCATCAGAAAGTCCGCAATATATCTGAAGAACTTCTTAGGTGGCACAACAACAGCTGCAAGCAAGACACGCGTCCACCATGCCGGGAACCCGGGACTTGCCCCCTCACCTCCTATAAATACCCGCATTTATTGCAGGGTGAGGGACTTTTGATCTCTTCGCTTGACAAGAACCCTAAGACCAACGGTTGTTCGGTCTCGAGCTCAAGCCAAAGCAATTGTACGCGTATCATACGCACCACTGTATATACATTATCATTTTGGCACCGTCTGTGGGGAATCGGTACGAGAAGTCGTTTGACGCGTTGTCACCATTCCTTGATATCATGTATCTGTTCATGGGAGAGTTAGAGCCTGTGAAGAGTATGTCTTTAGACCTTCGTTCGCGCCTCAACTCGCGGGTCGACCTCAATTATCCGCCCGGGAGAGCTCTGACCTCCGAGTAGGTCAATTTTGTGCAACCAGGGCTCGCTTATCCGGCGATGGCAGGACAAGCGCCTTTCCAACTGCCCGTGTACCAAACCGGGATGTATGACCCCCTGCTTCAGTATTGGCAAAGCCCGCAACGCTTTTGCCCCACTTTGTATCCCTTCCTGCCTGGACCAGGAATGTACCCTCCGTCGGTACATATACGACCATAACAACCAGTTGAAGCGCCGAAGATCGCTCCAGAAGTCGCCGCACCGCACGGGCTCCCACGCTGGCGCTCTAAGCGGCGCCCAGCGCAGTCCAGATTGGGTGCCGAAGGAGACCCCCGGGGTGAGGTTGCTGAGGTCTGGCAGAGAACGAGTGCCTTTGTACGGCTCGGGTCGACCGCACACCGTCGAGATGCCGTGGGATAATCGTGAGCAGCAGGATGTATCTATGGCAAGCCGCCAGGGGGACTCGGGGGTAGTCAGTTCATCCCGTTCCAGAAGGCGTCGGGAATCTAGGAGAGGCCAGGGGGCTCCTAGAGCAAGTACATGACGAATTTCGGACTTGGCGAAGGGAACATGATTCCCGACCGTCGGATGCTGCGTCACCGCTGTTGAGAACGTCATTCACGCCAGAGATCATGAACCAGCCCTACCCCCATGACTCCATGTGCCGGGCAGTAAAGACTACGATGGTCGCACCGACTCGGAGATGCATATCAACTCATATTACGGGAATATGCTGATGATGGGAGTCACCGATGCGGTCATGTGTCGGGCTTTTTATTCCACATTAACCGGGCGGGCGGCCGAGTGGTTCAAAGCGTTTGAGCCCGGATCGATATCTTGTTTTGCTGATTTAGCTACAAAGTTTGTGCAAAAATTTGTGACTTCTAA